CTGTGCTAGGTATTAGCTGCTCTTCACTGTGGCATGCAAATGCTTAGTTGTGGCATGTGGGACCCAGTTCCCTGAGCAGGATTGAACATGGGCCCCTGCATTGGGAGCTCAGAGTCTTAGCCAGTGGACCACCAGGGAAGTTCCTAGATGGATGATTCTTTAGATGAGATGCCAGTGAGATCTCACCAGACTCAACGAATATCACCTGGGCTGGAGTGAAATTATTAATAGGAATATTTAACCACCTGTGCTTCTTAGGGGGCTTTCCAGGTGGGGCTAGTGATAAAGAACCCACCAGGCAATGCAGGAGATGTCAGAGACAGTGGTTCGATCCCTGGGTCAGAAAGATCCCCTGGAGGAGAGCATGGCAACCCACACCACTATTCTTGCCTGGAGAATCCTATGGATAGAAGGGCCTGGGGGATTACGGTACATAGGATTGTAAAGAGTTGCACACGACTGAAGTGACTTAGCACACACACACGCTGCTTAAGACACCAACCAAGCCAACAAGTGTGGACTGGGCTGGGTCATGGGTTAATCTTTTAGTTGCTGGGTTCTGGGAAGCAAAAAGGCAGACTGGGGTGTAAGGTCTTGGGTCAGGGGCTAGTTATCAATCTTTTGTAAGTGTTTAGTTACCAATCTATAAGTAAGTGTTTCAGGGCTTCCCTGCTGGCTTGGATGGTAAAGAGTTTGCTTGCAATCCAGGAGACCCAGGTTCGATCCCTGGTTTGGGAAGATCCCCTGGAGAAGGGCATGGACACCCACTCGAGTCTTCTTGCCTGGAGACTTCCATGGAAAGAGAAGTCTGGCGGGCTACAGTCTATGGGGTCGCAAAGAGTCAGACACAACTGAGTGACTGACACACACACACACAAGTGTTTGCCTGGTTTAAAAATGGAGATGGCGACAGCGGTGCATGCTGACTAATAGCCGCCCTGGCTGTGGGTGTGCTTGGCAGTTCCAACAGAAATATGGGGATGTCTTCACGGTGTACCTGGGACCAAGGCCAGTGGTCATCATATGTGGGACAGAGGCCATTCGGGAGGCCCTGGTGGACCAAGCCGAGGTCTTCTCTGGCCGAGGGAAGATCGCCGTTGTTGACCCAATTGTCCAAGGAAGCGGTAAGGGCCTCAGGGCTGCCGGGAGTGGACAGGGGATGAGGATGGGGACTGGGGTGGGTGAGTTTGGGAAGGGAAGATAGGGGGTGGAGCGGGACCCGGAGTCTCCTTGAAAATTCCTCTGTCACCCAAGCCTCTCCTAAACCCTAGGTGTTATCTTTGCCAACGGGGAACGTTGGAAGGCCCTTCGGCGATTCTCTCTGGCCACCATGAGGGACTTCGGGATGGGAAAGCGGAGTGTGGAGGAGCGGATCCAGGAGGAGGCTCAGTGTCTGGTGGAGGAGCTGCGGAAATCCCAGGGTGAGCCCTGGGGCGGGGGTGGGCAGGAGAGGAACACGGGGAAGCAGTGTGATCACAGTAGCCCAAAGAGAGAGGGTATAGGTGGGCAGAGAGAGAGAGAGATGGAGAGACAGAGAGGAGACAGAGCTTGGGAGGCCCGCAGAGGAGCAGGGACCAGAGAGGGGCAAGGAGAAGAGGCAGAGGTGGGTAGGTGAGAAATGTAGGGGGCAGCAGAGATACAGGCGTGTAGTGTCAAGAGGAACGCAAAGACGACTCAGGCAGTAAATAGCACATTAGTTTCCTATGTTCAAAGGAACCAGTTCGTGGTTTGATTATATCTGTCAAGGGCCAAAATGTGACTTCAATAAAAAACAAAGTAAAGAGAAAAAAAGAGAAAACAGACATTTCAAAAAAAAGGACATACTGTGTTTTCCTTTCTTTGGGTGAAAAACTGGCATTGAGCACAGGGGCAGTTGGGGTTTTCTGCTGTTAGAAAGTCAGATGGGCACTTCCGGGTGCTTTAGAATTCCTCAGAGACATCCTGTCTGAGACATAGAGATGACAAGATGCTTTCTTAAGAGATTTTGAGACATAAATGGAGAGTCTGGGAGGAAGAGGCAGAGCCACGGGCAGCTCTAGAGGTATAAGGATGGAAGGACGCAGAATAAGACAAGAGGAGACAGAGTGATTCAGATGGAGACACAGAGAGGAAGAAAGAGACAGACATGGATGGATCGAGGCAAAAAGAGGAGACTCAGAGAGACAGGAAGGAACAATGGCAGGGAGAAACTGAGGTATGAAGATTGAAGAGAGACAGACAGGCTCAGGAAAGGGTGTGCAAGGGAAAAAGAGACAGTGGACAGAAGAGACCCAGGGAGAGGCCGCACTGACCTACACTCCTGGGTGCACAGCCCTCCCTCCCTCCTCCTGGGGCGAGCTTGGCACATCCAGACACAACAGTCAAGTGCAGAGCAGTTCCCAAAGGACCAGAGCGCTCTAGAGGTGGTTGAAAAAAATGGGGGTGGGCGGGGAAGGGCAGACAGTTAAGGATCAGACCAGAGCTTTGTCAATGGCACCTGCAATTGATTGAACACGTGCTCTGGTGAGATGAGAATTTAATAAAATAATATGTGAAGTGCTTAGAATAGGGTCTGGCACAACTTCTAGGCTAGCGAGTGTTGGTTGTGATGAGGCTGTTTTTTTTTTTTTAAATTGTGACTGAGTGATAGAGGAGAGTCACACAGAGACAGCTCCCCTGGCCCTTGAGTCTGTGTCCTGCGACCCACCCCTTTCCGTCTAGGAGCCCTCCAGGATCCCGTCTTCTACTTCCACTCCATCACCGCCAACATCATCTGCTCCATTGTCTTCGGAAAACGCTTTGACTACAGAGATCCTGAGTTCCTGAGGCTGCTGGACTTGTTCTTCCAATCTTTCGTGCTCATCAGCTCCCTGTCCAGCCAGGTGCAGGAGGGCAGACCTCGGGTGGACATCCAGGCAGGGGAGAGGGGTGATTTGGTTTTGGGAACTGGAAAGGCAGCTTCCAGCCCGAAGAGGGGCAAAGACAACAGAGGGAGAGAGAGACAGGGACACAGAGGCCTGGGGGAAGCGAGAGGTGGTGAGACAAGGACTGAGACAGTAAGAGAAAGAAAGGGGAGTGATGGAGGAGGGGGAAACAGAAAGAGGAATCAAAGACACACACATGAACCTGCTCCTCTCTTAAAACAAAAAGGTAAAGTGTGTCTTTCTCAATTAACCTAGAAATACCCCTATTGCAAAAAGTGAAAGTGTTGGTCCCTCAGTTGTGTCTGACTCTTTGTGATGGAGGGATTGTAGCCTGCCAGGCTCCTCCTCTGTCCATGCAGTTCTCCAGGCATGAATGCTGGAGGGGGTTGCCATTTCCTCCTCCAGGGGATCTTCCGGACCCCTGGCATTGCAGACAGATTCTTTACCTTCTGAACCACCAGGGAAGCCCCACCCCTATTGTATGTTCAGTTAAAAAGTGAACCTTCAGAAAGTCAGTCTGGCTGTTGTTCTCAACCGAGAGTGCAGATCAGAGACACAGGAATGAATATGGCAAATCCAAATTCCCATGACCTCCTAGTGGAGAGTCAGGCCTGGAAAATCTGGAGGGAGGTTCAGATGAGTATTTGCACAAGTCCAACATGGGGTTTCAACTTTCTTCTCTCACAGAGAACCACAGAGAGGGGAAAAGTCTGGAAGGAGTTCTGCCAAACAGTTAACCATGTTATCTCTTGAAGGACAGGTGAAGGAGGAATTCCACATCATAGTTTATACTATCCTGCATTTTTTGCAATTGTTGGCAGCAAGTCAGATGTTAGATTTCTTGTTAGGGAAAGCAATAAACATATGCTCCCAGAGAGTCAGCAGCTTCATTTTGTGTAAGCATCGTGTTATCAACGCCTGACACAGCAAGGATGATGCAAGAGGTGGAAAGAGGCAGAGAGAGGTTTGAGTAGAAGAGATAAACTGGCTGGGGTAGGCAGGGGCAGGGCAGAGGGTAGATCAGCAGGAGACCCTGGAGATGAGGAGAGGTGGAAAGGAGAGAGAGACAGGTGGGCCAGAGACTAACAAGAAGACACAAGGAGAGGGGGAAAGATGCAGAAAGAGAAAAATGTGATCTCTTACACAAAGGAGACACAGAAGCAGTGAGTGAGGGGCTCAGATACAGAGTGAGAGCTGGAGGGAGACAGAGACAGAGAGATGGAGAGAGAGACAGAGACAGGGAGACCAACACCCCAGAGAGGCAGAGAGATGGAGAGAGAGACAGAGACAGGGAGAGCAAGATACCCCAGAGAGGCAGAGAGAGATGGAGAGAGAGACAGGAAAACAGAGATCGCTTGTGAGGGTACTGGGCAGAAGGGCTGTCCCTCCCTGTGACCCGCTAGCTGAACCCTGCAAGGGCCTCACAGTCCCTTCTCTCCTGCAGGTGTTCGAACTCTACCCCAGCTTCCTGAAGTACTTTCCTGGCTCACACAGGCAAATCTACAAAAACCTGCAGGAAATCAATGTCTTCATTGGCCACAGCGTGGAGAAGCACCGTGAGACCCTCGACCCCAATGCCCCCCAGGATTTCATTGACTGCTACCTGCTCCGCATGGAAAAAGTGGGATTTGGGAGAGGCAATGGGGTGGAAGGGAGGAGAACAAAAGACATAGGGTGAAAAGGGAGGGAAGAGGAGTAGAGCAGTGGGGGGAAGGGAGAGGGGAGGGGAGCTTTGGAAGGGAGTAGAGGGAGAGAGGAAAGAGGGGGGAGTTGCTGGGGAGGAGACAGAGGTCCGGGAAATACAGGATAAGGGGAACAATGCAGCAGCTGGTGAAAAGAGTCACGGAGGCAGAGAGACTGGGGGAGGAAGGGGACAAACACACCAAAGAGATGGAAGATGACTGAAACAGAGCAAGACAGAGTGAAGGGAGATTGAGACCGAGATAGAGAGACGGTGGGACACACGTGGCATAGAGGAAAGGGGAAAGGGCCAGAAGGTGTAAGACCCAGAAACAGGTGGAGGGACCCGGAGAGAAGAGGTGTGGGCAGCAGGGCCCCCGGCCTCCCCTGATGTGAACCCCACCTGTCTGGATTCAGGATAAGTCCGACCCCCAAAGCCACTTTGATCATCAGAACCTCATCATCTCTGTTCTGTCGCTCTTCTTTGCTGGCACGGAGACAACCAGCACCACGCTCCGTTACGGGTTCCTGCTGATGCTCAAGTACCCGCACATCACAGGTGGGCAGGCTGGGGACGGACACTGCGAGGGGCTTCTGACCCCTCTGCAGTTCCAGAAATGGGGCTAGAGGTCTTTGGTGAAGGAGAGAGGCAGCTTTCCCCTCTAATACCAGGAGAGCCTGTAGGTTGTTTTTGTTTTTCTGTTTCCCTTCCCCCCTGACCAGGGATTGAATTTGCACCCCATGCTGTGGTAGTGAGCAGCCTTAACCACTGGACCACCAGGGAAGTCCTTGGAGCAGTGCAGGTTTTGAATGATCTACCCAACTAAGCCAGCCCTGTTGGTGGATGGATGAATGAAGTATCTGTCAATCTGTGGAGTTCCCTGGAGGTCCAGTGGTTAGGCCTCGGTACTTTCACTCCCATGGTCCTGGGTTCAATCCCTGGTCAGGAAACTAGGATATGGCAAGTAGCGCAGTATGGCCAAAAAAACAAAATCTATCAATCTGTTTTCCCACTATTTCTTCTGTCACTTAAAGATCAACCCACTCGTTTATCCATCTGTACTTTCAACTCATCAATCAACCTGTGCACTCAGATTCTTTCATCTGTGATTCATCTAGGATATATACATCCATGCTTTATTTGGACAAACTGATACATCTATTGATCATTTGAAACAGTGATTCACTGAATGAAGTGTTTGTCACTGATTCATCTGTTCCTTTATTTATTCATGCATCCACCTGTTTTTCTAAAACTAGGTTACATACCTTAATCCTTCCGTTGCTTGTTTTTCACTTCATCCTTCATCCATCTATCTTTCCATTTATTTATTTAATAATGCACTCATTTATTCACCCTTGATTTATATATCTATCATGCAATCCATCCAACCACCCATTTATTCCTCTGTTTACCTGTTCCTTTAATGTATTCGTTCACATGTTCTTCCATAAATTTAGCCATCCAACCATTCATATGAGTTATTGGTTCATCAAGTTCATTTATTTTTTTGCCTATGGATCATTTAGTAAGAAATTACTCTTTGATAAGTTAAGAATACATCCATTCATTAGCATTCTTCCATTTACCAGTCTTTCCACTCATGAATTGGAGAAGGAAATGGCAACCCACTGCAGTGTTCTTGCCTGGACAATCCCAGGGACAAAGGAGCCTGGTGGGCTGTCGACTATGGGGTCGCACAGAGTCGGACACGACTGAAGCGACTTAGCAGCAACAGCAGCAGCAGCCACTCATGAATTGATCTACTAAATGATCAAATGATTGATGTGCTCATTTATTTACCCAGTTGTTCATGGGTTAATCCACTGATGTGTTTTACTATTTTATTCCTGAGGATCTAACACAATGCCTCATGTATAGTATACACACAATAAATATTAGTTCATTTTCTACTCATCTTAGAGGAGGAACTTTGATAGGTTCATAGCCTTGAGCTCTTAGTCTGAAATTCTGAGGAACTGGGGTTCACACGTGTGTGTGTGTTTGCCTGTGTATGTTGGGAGAAAATCCATAATATTCATTATATATTAAAGAGTGAATGTTCTTGTAGTTTTCCCATTTCTCCTCCTACCCCAAACTGGTTACTCAGAGGGATGTCAATAATCTAACCATTTCCTATGGGTTTTCTGGGCTTATTGGCCTGGAAATGAATGGACCAATGTTCATAGAACATTGAACTGTGTTCCAACATAGAAAGCAGTGTTCCTGGTGAAATGTCTCTATTATGAGGTTCACTGGTCCCACGCTTCTGTGCAGAGAGAATCCACAAGGAGATTGACCAGGTGATTGGCTCATATCGCCCTCCAGCCCTGGATGACAGAGCCCAAATGCCATACACGGACGCAGTCATCCATGAGATTCAGAGATTTTCGGACCTCATCCCCATTGGCGTGCCCCACATGGTCACTAAAGACACTCATTTCCGAGGGTACATCCTCCCCAAGGTACAGCACCTCACTGGGCTGCCATATCTCCCTCCTGTGGTTCTCCTGGGTTCTCTTTCCTCTCCCAACCTTGACCTGTTTTTGGTTTTATCACTCAGCCTTGGCTCATGATGTGTAGGGGTGGGTTGGGGAAGGAAATGGAGATATCTTTCAATCTTGTGACCCTCCCTCAGGGCACAGAAGTCTATCCCATCCTGAGCTCTGCTCTCCACGACTCGCATTACTTTGAGACACCAGATGACTTCAACCCTAATCACTTTCTGGATGCCAGTGGGGCGGTGAAGAAAAATGATGCTTTTATGCCCTTCTCCATAGGTAAGCTGGGCCTGCATTCCAGAGTGCAGGTGCCATGACCTCTTGAGGACAATCAAAGAGAGGTCTTTGTTCATTGAGCAGTTTATCTGTGCCAGTTGCTTTACCTGTATTAACTGATCTCATCTTCACACCAACCCTAGAGGGGGCTTGAGAACCAAGATCATATCTCAAAGGCACAGTCTGTAAGGGCAACAAGTATACCTCTCTACACACAGGTATCAAATCTGTTGAGCACCATTATGAGCCAAACATTTCACCAGAGGTTGAAGATAACGCACCAGACAAGTCACAAAGAGACACAGTTTTTCTTTGGGTTGTGATAAGGCAAAGTGTGTGCATCCGCTCCCAGTGCACACTGTGATCCGAGATTCTGTGCCTTGTGTCCACATTGTAATCCTTTGTTCTGTCCCCACAGGGAAGCGTATCTGTCTTGGTGAAGGCATCGCCCGCACCGAATTATTCCTCTTCTTCACCACCATCCTCCAGAACTTCTCCGTGGCCACCCCCGTGGCCCCTGAGGACCTTGACCTTACTCCCCGGGAGAGTGGGGTGGGCAAAGTGCCCCCGAACTACCAGATCCAGTTCCTGCCCCGTCAAAGAGGCTGAGGGAAGATGATCAAGGATACCAGGGTCACGTGTGTCCCCACCTCTGCAGAGACTGGCCTCTGAACTCTCTCCCTGTCTTCCTGCCTCTGATCAGGGTGCGCTGTGAGCCAGCATCCCTCCCCTCCGTGGATGCCACCTCCTTGGGAAAGTCCCTTCTGCATCTCACCTCCTTCCGTCCTTCTGCAGCTCTTCTAAACTCAAGGAGGTGTTTCCTTTCAGCTATTAATAGAATTTCACAAGTGATATATACATATATGCATAAATATGTGTAATATGTATATGTATGTATATGTACATGCATATGTATATGTATATACTTGGTTGAATAAATGAAGCAAAAATGAAAACTTGCCTCAGTATCTCTCAGCATTTCTGCCTTTGGGGCCAGAGCTTACCGAAGTGACTAGTCCCCTCTTGAAAATAACCACAGCCTCCCTTTCTCCACACCTTGGGCACCATGATCTGTGCATCCATGAGCTCACTTGAGTCCTTCCAGTAGCCCTATGCAGTGAGTACAATGATCATGCCCTTTGTACAGATGAGTAAACAGAGGCCATGCAATGGCCAGCATGGTCTGAGCTGACCTGGCTAGTGAGTGGAGAAGCAAGATTCACACTCTGGATCCCTGGCTCTTGAACCCAAACTCTTCACACAGCTCCTTTCTGTCCCCAAGATAGACTTTAAAGTGAAGATGAAGTTCATATCTTGTAACTAACCAGTCTCAAGTGTATAACGAGATGGCACTTAGTTCATTCACAATCCTGGCCATCACCAGCACTATCTAGTTTCAAACATTTTCATCACCCAGAAGAAAACCTGGTACCCTTATTAGACATTCCCCATTTTCCCTTGTGCTCAGCCCCTGGCAAAACCAAATGCTTGCTGTCTCCATGGATTTGCTATTCTGCACATTTCATATAAACGGATCATACAATGTGTGTTCTTTCATGTCTGGATTCTTTCACGTAGTGTGATGGTTTTAGGGTATATCCATGTTGTAGACTGTGGGTTACACAGAGTGGTCCTCCTTATTTATCTTCCTGCTTCTCCTGCCTCCCTCCTCCCATGAAGGACCTCAGCCCATGGCCCCTGAGTTGTGTGGCTCTATACAGGGGTCTTGGATTCCCTGACATCCCCCCTCCAATGCCCCAAGTGGCAAATAAACATCAGAAACCTGACATCCCTGGGTCCAGTGGTGATCCCTGCCAGCTTACATATGACTCATTGATTGTCAGGTCACTGGAGATCATTCCAGAAGATGAGAACTGCTTCATCTCAATGCCTGTTCCTTGAGGGAAAACCTATTGTCTTGTTTAATACTCTACCATCAGCACCTGAGGCAGTGTGTGGCAGGTGACAGGTATCTAAAATATTTGCTGATGGATGAATGAACAAAGCAATGAACCCCTAAACCCAGACCACATGGAGTTAGGTCTTCCATCAGACCCTGCCTCCTCCTCTACACCTCACTCTCCACAGATGTGCAGACAAACCCAGTGGGCACAGGACGCCCACTTCTGCTGGCCTGCTAATCTTAATCTCTTAGTTGCAATGCCACTCACTGATAAAATGTCTGAGAGCCACCCTTGCAGGGCCACCACCCTAAGTGCAGCCTCCACAAGTTCCTTCATCTGACACCATCCCTCTTCCTGGGGGGATGTGCTCTCTGTTCAGTGGCATCGCCCACCAAGACAACTCTAGCCCATCAGGGACCCGTGGGGAGCTGGCTTGGGATCTGCTGAGATGATAAAACTTCGTGGCCTCTGTAACCCCTGCAAACTTTGGGCTCTCTCTTGTCTCTGGAGAGTTAACAGGAGCTCTGCCAGGGCAGGATCCTGGCACAACTTCCACAAACATCGGGCAAAATAACAAAGAACAGAGACACCTACATTTTTAGAGGAACGTCAGAAGGAAGGCAGGCATGGACCATGGCTCTCTCTGCCATCCTGCTCCTCATTCTTTTCACTGGCCTCCTGATCCTCTGAGGCTGCCCCGCCTCCCAGGGCCACCTCCCCCCTGAACCCTGGCCTCTGCCCTTCCTGGGAAACATTTGCAAATGAACCCCAAGGATTTACTTAAGTCATTGCAGGTGGTGAGATGGAAAGGGCACCAGGGGGTGGAAAGCAAGAGGTGGGTGAAAAGGAAACAGCTCCCAGTTAGCAAGGGAGCTGGGGGAGGCGGGTCAACTTTGGATGGGATTTCCCAGACTCCCTTGGGAACTGTCTTCTTCCAGCCATGATCTGGCCCTAGATATGCGATAGAGAAGTTGCCAGAATTCCTATGAGAAGGAGTGGAAGATGGGTTGAGTGAAGAGAGAAGTACCTTTTTTTTTTTTTAATTAAAATAGTTTATTGGAGTATAGTTGATTTATACTCTTGTGTTAGTTTCAGATGTACAGAGAAGTGATTCAGTTAAACATACATATATATTCATTCTTTTCAAATCCTTTGCCCATATAGGTTGTTACATAATATTGAGTAGAGTTCCCTGCTGTGTAGAGGTTCTTGTTGATTATCTGTTTTATATTAATATATAGATGGGTGTGTATGTTAATCCCAAACTCCTAATTTATCCTGTCCTGCCTCCCTGCCTTATGTTTTCTCTTCAGTAACCATAAATTTGTTTTTTACATCTGTGACTCTGTTTCTGTTTTGGAAATAAGTTCATCTGTATCATTTTAAAAAATTGTATTCCACATATTAACAACATCATAAGATAACTTGTTTTCTTTCTTACTTCACTTCCTTTGATAATCTAGGTCCATCCATGTTGCTGCAAGTGGCATTACTTTGTTCTTTTTTATGGCTAAGTAATATTTCATTGTATACATACACCATATCTTCTTACTCAAGCCTCTGTCAATGGACATGTACGTTGCTTCTGTTTCTTCCCTATTGTGAATAGTGCTGCAATCAACATTAGGGTGCAAGAATCTTTTCTTTTTTAAAAAAAAGACTTTTAACACAGCTCCCAGTACAGTTTAATAACAAGTGCCAAATGGGTTTTCAAAAAGTAGTTTTCCAAGTAAGGGTGGATAATGATCATTAGTACTTTGGAAGGTGCAGTGAAAGAGTTGCTTCTTAAGGGCTTCTTAATTTTTGGTCGAGCTGAGTCTTTGAGGCTGCTTGTGGGCTTTCTTTAGTTTCAGAGAGCAGGGGCTACTCTCTAGTTGAGGTGTGTGGGCTTTGCAGTGTGGTGGCTCCTCTTGTTGAGGAGAACAGGCTCTAGGCATACGGACTTCAGCAGTTGTGGTACATGGACTTAGCTGCTCAGCAGCATGTGGAATCCTCCCAGGCCAGGGATCAAACCTGTGTCCCCTGGACAGGGGGACAGGAGGATTCTTATCCACTGTACCATAGGGACGCCCTGCATTATTTCTCTAATTCACTTTATATTGGAGTATAGCTGACTTCTAATGGCATGTTGGTTTCTGGTGCACAGCACAGTGAATCAGCCACACACACACATATATGTATATCCACTCTCTTTTAGACTCCATTCCCATATCGGTCATTGCAGAGAACTGAGTAGAATTCTCTGTTACACAGTAAGTTCTTATCAGTTACCTATTTTGTATATAATCCTGAGTATATGTCAAACCAGTCTCCCAAGTTATCCTCCCCCACTTTCCCTCTAGGTAACCATAAGTTTGTTTTCTACATCTGTGACTCAATTACTGTTTCTAGATAGGTTTTTTGGTACCATTTTTTTTTAGATTCCACATATATGTGATACCATATATTTGCCTTTTCTATCTACCTTACTTCACTCAGTTTGACAATCCCAGGTCCATCTGTGTCAGTGCAAATGGCATCACTTCATTCTCTTTTATGGCTGAGTAACTGTCCATTGTATATATGTACCATATCTTTTTTATCCACTTCTCTATTGGTGGACATTTAGGTTGCTTCCATGTCCTGGCTATTGTAAATAGTGCTGCAATAAACACTGGGGTGCATGTATCTTTTTGAATTATGGTTTTCTCCAGACATATGCATAGGAGAGGGATGGCTGGGTCATATGGAAACTCTATTTTTAGTATTTTTTAAGAACATCCATTCTATTCTCTATAGTGGCTG